TCCCTGTTATAGAATTGAAGTTTAATTATAAATAATACGGTATTTTGGTGTAATTTAAAAAGCTTCGATAATTTATTACAGGTTACTAATGGAGCCGAAACCAGTTATTTATTACTATTTGTCATATTTTAACTGATTGATTAATTTTACAGTTTTAAATGCATAATAATACACTAGAGTTGGTAAGATGATTTAGTTGTGTTTACTTAATGCATGTATTACTTGTTTTGCGTGATTTACAGTTAAATTGAAAAACTGAAAATTAAATGCAAACGAGAAATTACTTGATTAAGTGAATGAATGAATGGTAGCCTTACTAAATATACTGGGAGATGGTGGACGGATCGGGTACATAGGGAACCTTACCATGAATGTTGTCTCATATCGGACAGGGTATCGAGAATTGGTATTTTGGTGCTCATACCGGATGGGTTATAGGGATGACCGGTTAGTTAACAATGTTGAATAAGGGTTCACGCATAGTGGGCACATCCCTATGGACTCGCATGGATACCAATAGGCAAATAAAAAAAGAAAAGTTGTTATTCTGGCTAATTAAAAATGAGACTATGATGTTGTTTGTGTTATTACTTCTATAGGTAAGTTTTGAAAATCTTAATACGGCAAGTATGTAATAAATAATTTTATTTATGATAAATAAATTTACTTAAATTAAGAGTTATATTAGTTATTTTTATAATTTTTACCAACTTTCATTTCTGTATCGGTGAGCAATGTGATATTCTTACTATACTAGTGTAGCTCACCCATTCATTAACTATTTCAGATCAAGAGGACCAAGACCTAAATGTCAATCAACAAAAGGATTGTAAATAGTTCACCACCCGAATTCCCTTTAAAAGCTAGTGAAAGTCGTCCTAGGATACCTAATTGTTTACTTTTCATTTATTTCTTGATTTTTCGTTTGTTCTTTTAGAATGATCATTTCTGTAACCCTATTGTGTATTCTAAATTACTGTGTAAGGAATGTAAACATTAACTCTATTATTTCGTTTTCGCATTTTATTTATAATTTATTTCATTTTAAGTTCATGGCTATTATATTAACTATTTCGATTGCATTAGTTTTAATAAAAATGTTTCAAGTTCTTATCCATTATAGGTTTGAGAGCAAATTTGATTTCAATAAAATACAATATGTATCTCATTAATAACACATAATCATATTGCGTTAAGTACAAAATAAATTTCATGTAAGATTTATTGAAATCAAATTTGTTCTCAAATCTATAACAGATAAGAACTTGAAATATTCTTATTAAAACTAATGTAGTCGAAGTAGTTACCTTATTGTAAGAAATTTATTTGAAAAATTATTATCTTAAACATCTTCTAGATGATTGAAAAATAACATAACTCATGTAAATTATAGATATTATTTATAGGCATTGTTAATATTTTGATTGAGAGGATTTTTTAAATTGGTTACTATGGTATTAAAAGTGATTTTAAGAACATAAAAAGAATCATATTGTGTTAAGTACAAAATAAATTTCATGTAAGATTTATTGAAATCAAATTTGTTCTCAAATTTATAACGGATAAGAACTTTAAACATTCTTATTAAAACTAATGTAGTCGAAGTAGTTAACTTGTTATAAGAAATTTATTCGAAAAACTTCTATCTTAAACATCTTTTAGATGATTGAAAAATAACATAACTCGTGTAAATTATAGATATTATTTATAAGCATTGTTAATGTTTTGATCTAGAGGATTTTTTAGATCTATTACTATGATATTAAAAGTGATTTTAAGAACATAAAAAGAATCATATTGTGTTAAGTACAAAATAAATTTAATGTAAAATTTATTAAAATCGAATTTAATCTCAATCTTATATAAATAAGAAATTGAAACATTCTTATTAAAATTAATGTAGTCAAAATAGTTAACTTGTTATAAGAAATTTATTTAAAAAACTACTATCTTAAACATTTTTCAGATAATTAAAAAACCGCATAACTGATATAAATTATAAATATTATTTATAAGCATTGTTAATATTTTGATTGATAAAATTTTTTAGATTGGTTACTATAGTATTAAAAATGATTTTAAGAACATAGAAAGAATCATTTTATTCTTAATTTTTTGTTCATATTTTTATCTAACAAATTTAGTTAAATATTATTTTTATGCCTATTTAAAAATAACAAAATAAAATATAAAATGTTTATAATGAATATTTATTTTTATTTTTATTTTAAATAAATAATTGTTATCTTTTCCCATCAACATTTTATCCAAATACATCCCTTATTTTAAACATAAAAATTCATCTATTTTCTGAATAATTTAAAATATATTTATTAAACATATATATTTTTTAAAAAATAATACCAAACAACTCACTTTTTTTTTTTTTTTTGTAGTTTACTTCCCCTGGGAAAAAAGACAAAGAACTAGTTCGGGAAAAAGAGGAACCCGTTGTTATATATACACACACACACACATGTAAACCATTCCCACTGGATTTAAAAATGAGACACGGAGCGCATGTGGGTCCCACAAGTTTAAGGAGATCGAAGAATTGACGTGGCAACATCACAATGACCTGTAGAAACCGATCATGGTGTTGGAACGAAACCTGACGGCCGCGGCGTTAAGAGATAGATATATATATATATATATATGTATAAAGGTGAAACAAAAAATGGACAAATCGGCAAATTCGTATTTCTTGTGCTCTATTAGTGGGAGATAAAGAGTTTCACAGAGACAAAGATGGATTTGCTACCGGCAGAGAGCTCACCGATCGCTAAGAAACATGGTTTTCGGTCCCTGAAGCTGTTGACCGTGGATATGGAGCAGGAACTTGGGGACCAACCCTTCGGAGTCGACTACGGTAGACTTGATAATGGCCTCACTTACTATGTGCGCTGCAACTCCAAACCTAGAATGCGAGCTGCTCTCTCTCTCGCGGTCAAAGTCGGGTACTGCTTGTTTCATTTTCGTTTTTGTTTGCTTTCTTGAATTTATGTAATGCATTCCCGCGTGTGCGATGCTTGTTTCTGCTTATTTACGGTAAGTAGGGATTGCTTTCGTTTGATTCGTCGTTTCAGTCGGTTGGGGTATGAGAGGCGCTTGTTTGTGGTTATTGTGTGTGTCAGTGTTTTTTTAATTTGTCGGGGGGTGGGGGAGGAGGGATTCTCGTTGCTGTTATACTGCTGAGTTGTTGTTGATGGGATTTAACTCAACTCAGAAGGATACGCAGACAAATTTTGCAAAATTATGACTGCGGATTCCAGAGAGAAAGAAACAATTCAATATTGTGGCCTATTACAACAATTATGATGCAAAATGAGACATATATATCCTTAATTTCGCCAGCCGAACTGTCTTAACTCTCCATAGAAATACTTATGTACCTCTGAAAGACTAATTTGTCAGATGCATGGCAGCTCAGTTTTGGAAGAAGAGGATGAACGTGGGGTTGCTCACATTGTTGAGCATCTGGCATTCAGCGCTACTAAGAAATATACAAATCACGACATTGTCAAATTTCTGGAAAGCATTGGAGCAGAATTTGGTGCTTGTCAAAATGCAGTTACTTCTGCTGATGAGACTGTGTATGAATTGTTTGTTCCTGTTGACAAGCCTGGACTACTATCTCAAGCCATTTCTGTCCTGGCCGAATTTAGTTCTGAGTATCAACAATCTTTTTGTTTGAATTAGTTCATACCGCTCATCTTTATTGTAATATTGTTACTTGCACCATGTAGGTTCGAGCCTCGAATGATGATCTGGAAAAGAGAGAGGAGCTGTAATGGAAGAGTATAGAGGGAACCGAAACGCTAGTGGGAGGATGCAGGATGCACATTGGCATCTGATGATGGAAGGTTCCAAGGTGCTGCCATCCATTTAAGCTCATTTACCTTACTATAGTAATTTATGATAACCAGTTCATGCATTGTCAAGGCTTTTCTTGCTGAAATTATTTTTACAAGATAATATAACAAACTTCTTCTTAACTTTAGTTTTTAAAACTTTGGGATAATATCTTCTACCATGCCTGGACAGTCTTAAGTTCCCTATTCATGTAGAGAATCAGAAGATTTAGCAGAACACATGCATTGCCTTATGTCCTCCCTAAGGAAAAGAGAATAAGAAAAATCTGTAGGCTTGGGTAGTGGAATTAGTATTTTGATCTCAATAGGAGCTAAGTTGAAATTTTTTTATGTTGCTTTGAGATGGAGCATCAGCCCAAGAATTTTAAACAGACTTTCATAGATGCATTTTAGTTTGGATAATAATCGTTCAGCCAACTAGGACTTGATTCAACACTATATGGTGTTAAAACATTTGATTGATTGCAGTATGCTGAGCGCTTACCAATTGGATTAGAAAAGGTGATTAGGACTGTTTCTCCTGAGACAGTGAAGCAGTTCTATAGAAAGTGGTACCATCTGTGCAATATGGCAGTGATAGCTGTTGGAGACTTTTCCGATACACAGGTTTGTTTTTGATGCAATAAAACATTTACTTTTCTGGAGGCGTAGACATGCATACCAATCAATATTTTTCTTAAAATCTTTTTTTCTTCTCTCTTTGAAGAGTGTAGTCGAGTTGATAACGACTCATTTTGGGGAGAAAAGGTCAGCACCTGACCCCCCAAGCATCCCAATCTTCCCAATACCTCCACACGAGGAGCCAAGATTTTCTTGTTTTACCGAGTCTGAAGCTGCTGGGGTTAGTGCTTAAAGTGTTCAACCTTCTACTAGTTACTGCTATTAATAACATTTGCAAATATTATAGTCTTATGACATTGTTTTCCTGATGTGGCTCGTACCAGTCTGCAGTAATGATTAGCTATAAGATGCCTGCAAATGAACTGAAGACAGTGAAGGACTATAGAGATATGCTTGCAGAATCAATGTTCTTACATGCTCTAAATCAGAGATTTTTTAAATTATCTCGTAGAAAGGATCCACCTTATTTCTCATGCTCAGCTGGTGCTGATGTCCTAGTCCGATCATCAAAGGCCTATATAATGAGCTCATCTTGTAAAGAAAAAGGGACTCTGGAGGCCTTAGAGTCAATGCTTATTGAGGTGTACATTTTGTTTCACTTTCTTTAGGAGTGTATGTGCACACAAAACTCACAATGCATTGTTTTCAGGTTGCAAGAGTGCGAATGCATGGGTTTTCAGAACGTGAAATATCTATTGTTCGAGCTCTGCTGATGTCTGAGATTGAATCTGCATATTTGGAGCGTGATCAAATGCAGTCAACCGGCCTGAGAGATGAATATTTACAAGTATCTTGAGATACTGTTTTTCCTATACTTTTGCAATGACTTGAATGAAGTTTTTTTTTGCATATGGCAATATATTTGTGTTTTATTTTGCAGCATTTTCTCCACAATGAGCCTGTTGTTGGAATAGAATTTGAAGCACAACTCCAAAAGACTATCCTACCTCGTCAGTGAATGTTATTAATTTTTTAGTACTGCTTTAAGAAAATTATAACAAACATATCAAAAATATTTTATAGATGTTCTTTTCTCATTGTTTATAATATGTATAGATATATCGGCATTGGAGGTGTCCAAGTATTCAGAGAAGTTGCAAACATCATGCAATTGCGTTATAAAGACAATTGAACCTCGATCTTCAGCAACAATTGATGGTCTGAAAAATGTAGTGTCGAAGATCAACAGTCTCGAGGATGAATTAAAGATTGCTCCTTGGGATGATGAACACATTCCAGCAGAAATTGTCACTACAAAGCCAAATCCAGGGTAAGTTGAATCTTTTTGTGAGTGAATAACATATTTTAACATAAAACTTCTCTTTCTAACTGGCTCTCTCTCTACAGTTGGTTTTCTCTTTCTGACTGGCTCTCTCTCTTGCTCTCAGACTCTCCTTTTTCTCTCTCCCGGACTACTCCTTTTCTCTCTCTATATTTTCTGATTTATTTCCTTCTCTCCCTACAACTTCCCCTAAATTCTGTTTTCACCCCTAATCTTTTCTTAATTCCAGATTCCTCCCTCACAATTTAATATTCTTAAAATTATTCCATAATTATTGAAAATTCAATATTTTACCTAATTTGGCTTTGATAAAGTACATGTCAAGACTGGGTCCTGACACCTTGCTCTTGACTTCTCTTCTTCTGTTAGCGTGTAGAAGCTGGTAAACTTATTGGGTCCCGTATCTCCTTGTGCAACCATCTTGCTTGCTGATCACCTGACAAATCCCCAAAAGAAGCTTCATCTTGTGGGATATCAAGAATAAAAAATAATCTCATTTTTAGAAAATGAAGAATTAAACATAATCTCACTACTATCAGAAGCTGCAGTATTTTAAACTTGTAGTCTAAAATTCAGATGCCTATCTTATTTTATTCTTACTGTATCCTTTATACATCTACTTATACACACTTTTGCAATGAATGAAATGAGAAAAGTCTCTATTCAAAACTCTTTATTCTGCTTCTTGATCTTCAGGAGCCACCTCTGTTGTTTCTTCTCAAAAGTATGGGAAGAGTCCTATCCTCTTCCTTGTGAACTACTGACCCAAGAACTGTGACCTCAAACCCGAAAGGATCTAAAAAACCACCTGCTTTCCTGGTTGAAGAAATACGTGGAGGATTCACTTCTCGCTACATTCTTAGTGATTGGGAGAATCTCTTGCACTTACCCTTCAAGCACCCAAAAGAACTCTCTTTCTATCACGGACATTTTCATAGGGTGAGAGAAATGGTGTGGTTGACAAACCAGCCAGGAAGCAGACCTAGAGGATTTTCGTCTAGTACATAAGTTGTATAACTTGGCAGTTAGCTATGAGCTGGGTGTTAATTGCTTTTCTGATCTAAAGGATGCTTATTGATATGCTATTCAAGCTGAAAAAGTGGGTACATTTTTAAGGAAAAATAGCATGTTACTTTACTTGAACATTTATCGTCTGTTATGAAAAAAAAAAAACTGTTCCACAATACATAAAGTAGGCAGAACTAGATAACTATAGGATTCAACCATATAACTCAACCTCTTTTGAAAAATTTGCATCAGGAATATTGTGCAGCAGTTTGAATATTCGAACATTGGAGCTACTGAATTGATATTATCAAATGGGATGCGAGTGTCTTATAAGTGTACCGACTTTCTTGATGATCAGGTATATAAAATTACTCGAGTTTTTGAAATATTTGTCAAAAATTGATCACTTGAGTTTTCCAATATGGATTATACTTATTGTAAATTAGCTATACCACTACCCTCAACATTCTCTTAGAGTTTAAGGTAAAATTTCTTTGCTTATTAATTCATGTGAATCATTTTGTTGTTTTCTACTGTTTGTTTCAACAGGTTCTTTTTACAGGGTTCTCATATGGGGGTCTATCGGAACTCCCGGAAAGCGAGTACTTTTCTTGCTCAATGGGATCAACCATTGCTGGAGAAATTGGTGTATTTGGCTATAGGCCATCAGTTCTAATGGATATGCTTGCTGGTAAGAGGGTGGAA